AAGTAGTGTCCACTACACAGTTTCATTTCCTAAAGAGGAGAAGAGGTCAAACGTTGGAAGTTCTTCATCGTTATCATCGTCCACTACATCGGATACCTCCAAGACAGATGTGCAGGGGACCAGAGTTCGCGAAGAGGTTATTTTATCAACTGAATTGGTGTTTTCTCCAGGAGTGTAGGCCGTTGCCTCATCTGCTTCTCCATTCAATTCGATAGGATTTTGAGAGTTAGACGGAAACGCCTCAAGAGTAGTTTCCTTGTCTTGTGTGCTTTGAAAAGAATTCTTTGTTACCTCTGCTGAGCTGGAATCTTAAATAGCAATAGTTAGATTACAAAATAGTTAATACTTATAAAGTGCTGAATTTTGTTCGCACTGATACAATCCTGAGTCGAAAGGAAAGTAAAAAGCAATGAGAATAACACCACAAATAATTATTGACAAAATAATAGCAATAACAATGATATTGATAATGTTACTGATGACGACGTTGGCACTGACTATAATAATGAAAATAGCGTAGACAAAAGCAATGACAACGGCGAAAGCAATAGCGATGGCAATGTCAGCGTCAACGACAGTTACCATGACGACAAGGAAAATGAGAGTGACAATGACAATGTCAGAAGCAGATCAATGTCAGTATCGGAACAACTGCGCACCTACCCCTCCCCTAACCCAACATTAACCTAAACTTGTTAACGGTCGAGTGTTGTTGGGCTAGGGGAGGGGTAAGTGCTAACACTGATAAGGACAAGCATGATGACAATCATTGTAACCATGACCATGAGAGGGAGGTCATCTTCCGATGCGTGCAACACTCTTCCACATGTAACAACTAACCTTGGCAGACATCATTGGCATATTCTTTCTTCCATTTCTCAACGAAATCTTGTGAGTTACACAGTCCGCCGGGATATCCTGAATACGAAAAAAATTTAAAAACTACGTTGAAAAATAACAAATTCAAAATACACTAAAAGCCCCTAAAGAAGAGAATATCTAGTTGAACAATGGATATAAAAGAATGTACCGATTCTTACCGCGACAATGCTCTATAACTTTTCCCCAAACGTTGTTACAGGACAGTATCTTAAGATTACCGACGATAAGGAGATGCCTGAAAAAAGGAAAATGATAACTAAAACTAAAAAATCGGTTACAGTTGAGATTCTATTCCACTCAACCGAGAATGTAATCCTTACACGATGGGTTTGAGATTGATATGTGACATTCGACGGTAAGTATACACTTGCTTTCGCTTCAAGATGAACTACAAAGACTACATGCCGAATTTCAAAGCAAAATTATCATTACTAACCTCTTAGCTCTCGTTAATGCGACATTGGTACGTCTGAGAGGAAAACAGAGAAAATCATTAGATAATAGAAACAAAAATTAAATATGATTTACAAAAGGGAAACAAGCTAGAAGATGGATCCTCCAAGTATTAATTGCCTTATCACTCTCTTTTTAGGCTCCTGTTACAATGCCCACCTAAAAGCTATTATCAAAATGATTACACGATGTGATTACACCACCGAGGTCATCCTATTGTTTCTGTTGTTGAGAACAGTTCACGGCAGCCTAAGCTGTCGAAATGCATTTTCCGTCCCACGCTCTTAGAGAAACAACGCTCGTGTTGGTATAAAACCTTGCGTAACTTACGAAAACTCTTTAACCTTTTACACCCAAACATCAGTATGCATATTCTCTATACTGTTCTTTAAACATTTCCTAAAGTGCTGTCTAGGAGAATTCGTCTAACAGTCAAGAGCTATTTTCGTAGGTGATCAGTTCCTTTATTCTCCTGACCTAAATGTTTGATTCAGGGGTGATATTGTAAGGAGAAATTAGATGCCAGTCACTCTTAGGGGCTAAAGGGTTAACAGACTGGTCGTAATCACAAAAAATCTCATAGATTGCAAAGGAGATGCACCTCACATGTATGAAATATATGCGATGGCCATGGCCAATACATACGTAGGCAATGCTCTGAAATGCCTTGTTGCTATCGTCACTGAAGTGTATTTTGCTTCTTCATACCTTGGTGTGTATAATAAACCTAGCGCAGCGCAGCATTATCGACCGAGCTAAAAGACACAACCGTGAGCATGTGAGGTGATAAAAAGTAAGAAGAATCTCACCTGTCACAATCAATGAACCCAATGTGATCCGTGCGCACGCACGACAAAATGATCAAGTCCTTTTCACCGCCCTGGAATGCGTCGACTGTTGATATCTGCTTAGAAACAAAGTAGAAAAAAATTATAAATTATAAAAGAAAAGGTAAACTAATGGACGCAAACGAAACAAAAACACAAGCAACAAAAGGAGCTACAACAATTTTCCAAAACAAACTAAGTGTAGTTCAACTAAAGGTAAGAGTGAAACATTTCTTCGCCACACGACTTTCCCTCACCTGAATAGATTTGAGTTCGGCGTTGGAAGTGGCTCTGAATTTCAGACAAAATGAGAGCAAGCTAGTGGTTACAATTATCGTGAAACAAAAAACCGGAAAAACAAACAACAAACATAAAGAAACTATCAATTAACTTTGAATATCTCTTCAAGTTCAAAAATACACGTTAATTTGTACCAAACGTCGAGTTTTCGTAGCTGAAATTAAGAGTAACTGAGTCTAGAAGCGGCGTTTATGCCTTTGTGGCTGTTCAAAACTGCATCTACAAGACCACTGTAATAGACAAGTTTCCAACAACTTTATAAGTATTGAGGAATTCCGATTCCTGGATACGAGAGAACATATATACCTGGAAGCTGTCAAATGGTTGGATATTGTGTTCAGTTGGGACTTGTACAACGTTATTACTCCTGAAATAAAGGAATGCAAGAATAACGAGTTTCAAGATGCACAGAGAAAATTCCATTCGTAACTAACAACTACCAAGGTGCGGCAATGCAGGAAAAGGAAGGAACTCGTACACCAATCGGTAGGAGGAGGGAGGTACGATAGTCATGAAAGTAAATCTAAAAAGTCACAAGAACCTGTTTAATATCACTCTGCACCTGCGATTAACCTTCTGGAAATACGTGAGTAGTAACCTACATTTCTAAAAAGGGTTAGGAACTTTGCTGACACAAGAAGTGTTGTAAATACATTGGTATGATACCATCAATGATCACAAACATCCACTAAGTTATAAGCCAAACAGGTTAGTGGAAGCACTGCATTACAGATGGTTTTAAAAATATTCATCACATACCTATTTGTGCCGGTTCCACACCAGACTCCAGGAGGCGTTCAATAAGAAAGACAACAAATTTCGCCTACAACCAATGAACAAAATTCAGTGAAATAAAATTAACAAATAGATTCCAAGTTGCCGTGCGTCTGTTCAGTAATAGATCACAGATGACATCAAAATGTGGTAGGAACAAAAAAGTGGCACACGAGGTGCAGCCTTTAAGAATTAAAAAAAGTTTTAATGATGACGTCATCTATACGTCTGTCCTCCAATAGATCATAAGTGAGAACCAATCAGAATGCGTGCATAACTGAGCTTATTATATAAACATTCATAGATCAAATGATATATAAAATGAAAAAAAGAAAAAAGCTAGCCATAAAATAAAAAAACAGTTAAAAAACGAACAAGCAGACTCAAATAGCGAAGAGGAAAGTATGTTCGAGAGGCGGGGACATACAAGAAAGCAACGAACGATCTTTGGAGTCCATCAGCAACATTCAAAGAACAGGGGCTCAAGAGAGAAACACACATAACAATCGCAGCAAAGTGAAAAATGATACAGCAAGACTCTTGTACCTCTTCGTCGTTGTAGTAACTTCCATCTCGTCCACATTTCTCTTTTCCTCTTGCCACGTTATAGAAGCAAAGGGTTGGAACAACTTCCTGTTTGAAAAACACGATTTACATGCTTTGTAAAATGTGTTCATAAACAGGTATCTTTTTTTACGTCATTCAGCAAGAGGCAAGAATTTAGACGGAGAGAGGAGAGAGGAGAGAGAATGGCATTTTTGCCATTTGGCTTTCAGCCATTGCGCAAGAATGTGAAAAGTGTCGTTCCTGTTAAGTTTCGACAAATCGGAAAAACCCATTCATTTTTTCAAGCCGAACTACTTAAGGATTAAAGTCAGTACAGCTGTTACCCGGGTGGATCATTTGGCCTAACGTAGCAGAGAACTTATGGACACTTACCACTATTGGGGAACGATCTTCAGATGTTACCCCGTCGAGAAGCTTCTTCCCATAAAACAATCTGCAGAAGAAAAAGCAAGTATTGTTCACCGTTGCATTTCACAATCAAAACTGATTTTAACGCAAGTGCCACTGGTGCAATTACGTGCATGTAAATTCTAAGAATCTGTCAAGCTAGTCGAGGCTTTTTCCGACTTAGAGGCTCTTCAAGCGAAGTTCAGCAGAAAACACAAGGAAGTTCATGTGAGCAGTGTAAACAAATCGGCAGTTCAAAGCTCAGATCACTTTTACGGTTTAAAAACACGAAAACAAAGAAGCAAACATGAAATCAATTTGTACTCACGTGTTGGATATCGCACTGATCGTTGGATGACAACGGTACTAAAAAGAACAGCAAAAGAGTAAAAATCACGGCTTTTTTTCGTTCATTCGACACATCAATTTGACTACTTTGTTATTTTTCGATGACTAAGCAATTCACACATCTACAAATCGACATGGTTGGATCAGCGCCTTCGAAGGGAATTGACTTTTACAGCTCATTTCACCCTTTACCTCCCTTGATTTGAATGTTAATTCTCCCCTGTAGCTGCTACACATTTCCTTGTTGATTAGTTGGGAGAATTTGGTGCTACATCAATATAACAACTTCTTCCTCATAGGTCTGAGTATTCCCATCATATCTTTGCTGGATAATGTATGGATATTATAGGGAGATTAATCACTTCTGGGAGTTAAAGGATGAAATGGTGCGGTATCTTACCTGTGTTCTCAGCAGAGTAGGCTCATAACCCTGAAAATGGACGAATTAAAAGATAAATTAAAAGATAAATAAACAAAAAAAACCAACAAAATAATTGAAAATAATAGACGTGCACAGTGAAGAAATCTAAACTTGGGCCCAACAAAGAAGCACAAAAACACAAGACCAATGAAAAAATTGATAATCACAAAAGTGGCTTAAAAATTATCCTTGTTTGCAACGTCGAAATGGTAAATTGTACTTTAACTCTTCACGCTTTTTTCACACAATCATCAAACATTAATGTCCGATTTTAGACAAAAGTGTCGAATTTAGACACCAGTGTCCGATTTTAGAAACAAGTGTCCAAGTTCAGACACTCGCATCCGATTTTGGACGCCACTGTCCTCCGATTTTGGACATTAGTTTCCGATTTGAGAGATTAGTGTCCGATTTTGAACCTTGGCGTCCGATTCCGAACACTATAGTATCTTGGATCAATCGATGTAACCTGGAAATTAATTGATGTAACCTGGGAATTAATCGATGTAACCTAGGAATTAATTGATGTAGCCTAGGAATTAATCGATGTAAGTCCCTTGAAAAGGGTCGAAAATCAACCTAGGCTTAATAAAACACTTAGAATGAACTTACCATCTTGATCAGTCGATCAAACAAAGTTTGTTCAAGTCCAACCTCATGGTCAGGCTCGGAGCCCTGAATCGTTGGACTAAGTTGCTACAAGAAGGGGAAACAAAAAGAGGAAAGCAATTCAAGTGTTTAGAACTGAAATTCAATAAAAAGGGATGGCCAGGCAGAAGGATAACCCTTAGAAAAGCACTTACTTTTGGATCCCCGACCAGGACAAGCTTTTGGCATTCAAATCTGTAAGAAAATGGTACCAATAAATCGTACGTTTGTGGAATGTGTTTTTGTTTACTTTGTGTGTTGTTGTTGTTCTTGGTTTTTGGAAGGTATATTTCGTACATTAAAAGGTTGTTTAGCGTCTTGTGAATTGTTCTTTGATCTCTGTATGCCATGAATTTCATCAACGTGGTAGGATTCGTGCTGACGCATTCCGTTTACCAGCCTGAGGAACTAAAGCTAAGTCAAGTCCGAAAATGCAACCAGTTGATCGCCGATGTTACTACAAATTTGCTCTTGGCAATCATGATTCTTTTGCGCTTTAGCACTTATGCACGTTCATATGTTGATCGTCAACGAGCAGAAATACGTTTCATGCAAAGAGAAGTGTTACAAACTAAATTAAAACTACAAATTAAACCTTTCTGAGGTGGAAAAACACCAAAGAGAGATGGACAGACCTAAAATACGAAGTAAGGTCTTGGATGGAGAAAAATGATGATGTATTTCAGGTTGTAAAGTCGAGCAAAGGGGCACGTACCTAGCCATTGGGAGAAGAGACGCCGGCTCTGTCATCTGACTGCACTCGTCTAGAAGCAAAACCTAATTAGACAGAAAAATACGCACATTTTAGATGATTGGACGGTCTTCGATACGCCTGACTGTGAAAAATGTCTTCATACAAATAAAAAGCCACGGAAAAGAAACAAGCTAAATGGTAATACGATTGCTTCAAGATATCGTAAGGTATTGGTTTTTAATGAGTTTGAAATGAAAGGAAATAAAATTCCAAATCACCGATAGCTTGAAAAGAACCAAAAGCTACTCTTTTAGGGAACGCGCGGAGACAATTATAGCAAGTCAGTATGGCCAG